AGCCCTTCACAAGTCCACTGCTGAACATAGGTCTCCCCCAGTAATGCCACACAGCACGGTCCTGAGCCACCTGCATCCATCGACTTCCTGCATGTCTTACCAGGTCGTCACTTCATCTAGTGGGGGGTTGCCCTACACTACGCCTACCGGTACGAGGCTGCCACTCGAGAACCTTTCTTCCTTTTGTTCCTTTTCATTTATATTGGTATACGATTAACTTAATATGAACTCCTTTATTACAAATCAATTTGGATAAAAAAGCTTTTATAAAAGACGTTACACTGCATCAAAATAAAAGACTGCATCAAAAGAACTTTTGTGCACTGATCTATTACATTAAAAAAAAAACATTAAACAGTATTACGTATCCGATAAGTGGCACTTATCCTAATCGGTGAAACCCGCACACGTTCGTTGTCATTGCATAACATTACTTCTCAAACGACCTCACAAAAATGTCGATTGGCGGACTCGCAACAGACGCGGGGTTCAACGAACTATCCCATTCCGATGTGGACAAAGTTCTAGTGGACCAGTGAAAGTGAGGCACGGTTAGAACGCAGCGGAACGGACGGCGAGGCAGATATGCCGTATAATGACGTGTGAGATTGTGCGCTGTCCGAAGAAACGAAGCGCGGACGATTAATGACTTTTTATGAAAGTTACTTTTATTCAGCATGTACATGCGTTGAAAGTCTTCTTAATATTAAGGAGTTATCCGCTAACATACTGTTTTTTATTATCATATTTAAAACATAATGATACCATATTCTTAATTAAAAATAAAAAAATTTAAGTAATAGAATTAAACGACGGAAAGTCAAAGCTGATAAATGTGTTGCAAACCTGAGCAGATCCTATATTATTATTCTTATAGGCATTAGGGTTCAAATACCGCTCGAAACAAGTGTTTGTAATTTGTATTAGGTCCCATGTTCTTAGCAAGTGTTCGTAAAGTTGTTGTTTGGTCGTAAAGTTTGGAAGGTAATCTCTCAAAGCTTTTCGTTGTAGCATGTCCCAGGCATGCTCGATAGGATTATAGTCAGGCGACTGTGCAGGCTAGTCCAATACTTGAATATCGTGGTCTCAGAGAGCGGCGGACACCAGCCGCGCCGTATGGGAAGGAGCATCATCGTGCATGAGTAGAAATTCCCGTCCCATTTAGATTCTGTGTGGGACCATAACAGGCTCTACTACCTCCTCGTGGTATTTTTGTGCAGTCATGCTGCCTTGGATTCAAACGAATTGGGTTCGTCCGCCAAGACGAAGAGAAATTTCTGCCCATACCATGATTGTGTCGCCTCGGTATGAGAGGACGTCCTAAGGGTGCCGTAAACGGCTAACTCTCCCTGGAGTTCTCCAAACGTATGTTCTTCGTGAATCCGGATGAAATCCATACGGAGACTCATCGGTGAACAGCACCAAAGACCGCGATTGCCTCGTCTCAATACTGAAATACGTAGCGGTCTTCGAGCATGAGAATTATACGTTGTAAAGCAATACTGCAGTTTAGTATAGTTGTAGCACGAATGGGTCGGCTCGACCGGGGAAGGACCACGCTTTCACAGAATACCAGCGTGGAATAGTAGCTTAATGCTGCTGTGTTTCGTATGGTTAGTGTAGAGAACCCTTTTTACTGGAAACGAGGCATTCCATCTTGATCCTGATGGGTGACAACGCATCTGCATTTTGATTCGTAATCGAGGATAGATGTAGATGTCTATGGGCCACAGCAACCACTTACCATCAGGTGGACTGTGTGCTCGTTTGTCACCCTATCCTATAAAAAATGAAGACCAACTTCCAGCCACCTCCTTTGCTCGGTTTGGTCACTTACCAGCAGCTGGAGGTACTCCTGGAGCCTTTGTAGTAGTTGCATCGCTGTGGTACTAGGTCGTCTTCTGGCGGTCATTTGGAGAAATCGATCTTGTCTCTGCGTTTTAACACAATATTTGCCGTTCAGCCACATCCCCAGTACTGCAATAACGTGACCAAAACCTTGACACCACATTTTGACTGGTGTGTAGGCCCTCGGCAACGATGCTAAACGCACATTTACACACACGTTATACATAACATCATTTTCTAACATACCCACGGCTCGTAAAATTTAATCTCGACTCAAATGATGGCGTGACATGACTGTTAAAGCTCACACGGTACGTTAAATAAGAAAATAAAAACAATCTAATTAATTAATATCCGTAGAACAATTTATTTTTCATTGACGTGACGTATCGAATTACTAACAATTTTGCCGCCGTATTCTATTTTTTCTTTTGCTTTTTTTATTTACATTTTTAAATTTTGAAAAAGAATAAAAGAACTTTCCATCTGTATATAAATTTTAAAATCATAAATAATTTAAGATTAAGGTATTCCTAGATTCTGTTGATGTGTTTATGAGTCCGACCTTCGCAAACTAACAAAACTAATGAATATGTAATACGGCAACAAGTTTTATCTATGATTAATGTATACATTTTGAGTACATGTGTACTCGCATGTAAATGTAGTTTCCGGGGTGTTGATACGCTAAGATCTGATTACAGTCAATGCACCGAACAGAAGCCATTGCGATATTAGCTTTTCTCTTGTTTATATTATAAAAGTAATTTCCGCATGGTAGTGGCATATAAATAAAACAATGCAATATATGTTGTCCCATATGTATCTTAGAATAGAATAGAATAAAATATTTTTTCAACATAGATATCAAGAAATATTTATTAAAAATTATTTATGTTTTTACCACTGATTTGGAAAAAAACCTCTACCCCGGGAAGTACCGGTCTTCACGACTCGACTCCAAAGAGTCAGTAACTTCATCTTTGGGCAATGTATACGCTTTCATAAAAAATATGCAGGACTTATCTATCAAAAAGTTTAAAATTTTATTATGCGAAAATTGTTTAAGGGGAAATATAACCTCAAATGGCTTAGCAAGATCCTCCGTTATGCCGAAAATATTGCAGCATTAATTTTGAAATAAATATATGGTAAAGTTGAGGATTAATGTTAAGGATTATGTTAGACGAAAACACGATTCCGTAAAATTTTCTCGATAGAAAAAAATCTAAAGTTACCTCCAAAATAAAAAATAAACCGCTGTTATTCATAAAATACTTTAAATAAGATCATGAAACTTTACATACTAACTGAACTAACTATAAAGCAGTACTATTATTAGTTATTTACTTTTTTTATAATACCGTTATTTTCACTGTAAAAGGAAATTACCTAAACTATCGGCGTCTTGAAGCGTGATTCCTGCCGCCCGGTCAGTTTCGCTTCGGCCTTTGAAGGGGGAGGTTGTGACGCTTAGGATCAGAATACACATTACGCAAAAGGACGACGTAAAATTAAAATTGGAAATAACCGTTATAAAAATAAGAAGCGACTGGCTTAGCGTTAAAAATCAGGCATAAATATGATAAATCTAATTAAATAAGTGTATAAAGACCTATCTACTTACAGTATTAGTGATTACAAACATGTCGGTACATAGCATACGACGCGCGGGGAAGTGGGGGCGAAATTATAATTTGAACTGACTTACTATACTCGTAATAAGGGTTTATTAGAGAGTACACATGGAGCGTTCCGATGCGTTGCGTCGTCGCAACGCAAATATTTTGAGGCATAGCCGGCCACATTCTTCGCAAATAATCCATATCAATTTCTTTAATGGTACTCATTTGACTCTGCAAATTAAACTCAAAGAAAAAACGAAATCAAAGCACAAACAACTGAACGCCGCCGCTCGGACCTCACAAGCAGTACACCCCCTCCCCTTCGTCTCGGGGGCTTTTAGTCAGACGTGTTCGCTTAGCGTCAATGCAGCGTACCGTGTAGTCTTACCCTTAGGCTGTGTTATGATTGATAATAAGCCCTGGGAATGAGGTGATCGCTGTCAAGCTGTTCCTAAATGTTATAGTACTTAATTGTATAAAATATTATATTGTAAATGAACGTTGAAAAAAATTACCGCTAGGTTTCCGCTGGGAACCAGGGGTAAAACTTAAATGTTTTCAATAAGTATTTTTAATATATATTGAATGAAAATGATTTTATTCTAATTCTACCAGCATCGTTAGTAATATAACTAATAATTCACATAAATTTAATGAAATATTTTCAAACAATATGATAGCGATCACATCATTCAGGGGGGGTTATTATCAGTCACTTATTCTTTAATATTATAGTAACTCTTTTTACACAGCTTTAGTTTGATAAAAATTTTAAACTTTTTGGGCAATGGGATCTGCATATTATTGAGACTTAGTATAAAAGCGAATTTAAAAATGTAATGTAAAAGCGAAACATTCGCCCATCAGGATATACAAATTCTTTGGAGTCGTGTAACAGGTATTATTAACTTGTGTTCGTTCCTAGTATTAAGAAGGTTCCTAGAATGAGGATAGAGGATGTAGGTTTCCATTTTTAATAAAAATATTTTCGTTTACTGAGAGGCAAAATTATTATATTTATTTCTTTAAATTTTTCTAAGAGACCCCTTCAAATTTAGGTTATAAGTAGCTAGAACTGATATCTTCTGCAAAAGTAGGTTTCAATAAATGACATTGCAAATACCAAGATTCCCTATAACATTATGCTATGGGAATAACTAAAAAAACTTATCTAGAACGTTGAACTCATATAAGGTTTCTGACTTTTTACAGTTGTAGAACTAAATCTGTTTCCTAGTTTTGTTATAATTTTACTATTATTTTAGCCCCATTAAAACTTGACCTCGCGTCCGGAGTAACTTCCAGAAAAAGTAAGGGGTGACTATGGGAAATGCCAGGAATCTCATAACTTTCGATAAATGATGGTATATAATGTTTACGCCAGACGTAAAATATCCAGAACAACCAAAATTAAATGTAAAATAACATTTGCTATTAAAAGTTTCATAGATACGGGCGGAGTTCGAACCCAGTTTGTCCGCGTTCTCTTACTATATACTAATACCCATTTTTTTCCTTCCTTTTCAGGTGAAAGCAGCATAGAGAAGCCGTTATCAACATTGTGGCGTAATTACCAACAATCTACCAAGCCCGATGTGGTGATGAAACTATCAGTCACCAATTCAGGTCTAAAAGGCATCACCAAAGAACATGGACTAACCGAATACTGGTCCCACCGTATTACTTATTGCGCCAGTCCTCCGCATTATCCAAAATTATTCTGCTGGGTATACCGTCACGAGGGAAAGAAGTTAAAACATGAACTTCGCTGCCATGCCGTCCTTTGCACCAAAGAATCAGTATCAAAAAAAATAACCGAGGAGTTACAAATTAAGTTAAAGCAGGCGCTAGTCGAATTCAAAAAGGACAGAATCTCAAAACAAAATGCGAGGTTAAGTCTTGCCAACAGTGTTTACGAAAACCCAAGCATGCCACGCAGAAAAATACTGCTCAGTGTGGGCGCAATGAATTACCGACCTCCATTAGAAAGATCAAAGTCTGCTCCAAAACTTGGAGCTATTGAGGAACTCTGGTCCGAAGAAGACGAAGAAGAAGCAGAGATGAACGCAAAACAAAAATCCTGCAATGTCACTGTTGATGAATCTTGTGCCTCACAGACATTAGACAGACGACGACAGGAAGCAAAGTCTCCTCGCAAGTTTTCTTGCCCTGGCGGATTTACACATAGAATCCAACAGAAAACCGATAATAGTTCACACAATACTGATAAATTTATTGATCTTCTTGTGAAAGAAAGCAACTTAAAGACGGAAAGTGAGAACCGCAACGAAACTAGTCATAGCGAAAGTAATAAATCTGATTCACGATTGAAAGAATCTGAATCAAGATTGAAATTGTTGGAGGTGATATCTGAATCACGTGAACTTATTGATAGTTCAATTTGCGTCGATGAGGTTAGAAAGAAAATGCATACACAAAGTAACTTCCTCGTCACTGACAGCGACGATGGATCTGTTTCTTCTGGCTGTGAAACTGCGAGCACTGTCACCTCTTCCGATGCCGAGCCGTCGTCACTCCCTTCACAATTCCCACAGGAAGAAATAAAGGAATCTGATAGCGATGAAGAAAAAGCATCTGCGTATGACGGGGTGCCAGTTTTTGAGCGTGATTCAATCAGAGAAAGTAATAGAAGCTACGCCAACTCCATTCATGTAATGAATGATGAAGCTGATATCACAAACACCGTGACCTCTGATGAAGTAAATTACATACCTATAGGGGAGAGAAACGGTTTTAGACGAAGGTCAACGTATCCACCATTACGCGCTGACTCTTCAGTACTCGCGAACCTTGAAGGCAAATTCGAATCACTTATCGACAATATTACAGAACTGGATAGTCTAAATTCCAGCACTGAGACAGAAGTTTTTAACAAAAACGCAGATGACAACGACAGTGCTTGCAGTGATGAATCTGGATATTCAGAATTTCTAGACAACGGCAAGGAGAGTATTATCGGTAATACAATTATGGTTTAAGCACTTAAATCTTACAGCAATTGCGACCACAGCATTGCACGTAGAAACGATTTAGGTATTTTCTTTTGTAGCTCTAATACTTATTAGATATGTATAAAGTTTATTGTAAATACAGGGTACACCATGTACTTGATCCAGTTTTTTTTTATGCGTTTGTACATATTGTAATTTTAATGTGTAAAATTATTTCACACATTTTAGTTAAATATTTGAAATTTCTATTTTAACACTTCTTGAATGACCTCACTTTATCATATTCGTCCATATTTATTACGTTGTTATAATTATTTACTATTCTCTTAGCTCTAACCTAATCCTCATGATGGTTTGTAAGTACTACTAAGTTACATTCCATATTTATACATTTACATCTTGGGTCATTCATAAATGCATGTAGTGATAATATTTTGGAGGAAATAAAGTGATAGATTTCAAAAATAAAAACCTTTTTTATTTGTCTCTTCAATGATTGTGATATTTTGTGATCTGTCATTTTACAATTACAGAACCGTATAACCAGTTTATAAAAGCGCAATCTCTTTAGGAAAAAAAAATTAACTGAACCGTGTAACAACATTGTAACAATGTCTACTTTCATATCTTCCCGTAGATGTCGTAAGAGTCAAAAGAGGAAATTAAATCTGAAGATGGGTAACAACGTCTTCCTAAAAACAAAAGAATTAAAAGAATTATCTGCGGTTGCCTACCCGTCTGCCAAGCATTAACAAATATCCGAGCTATCAGGTCGACCTGAATTATTTTCTTACACACTTAGCAATCTGAATTTTAGAAGGATGTGAAAGTATTGCCTGTTTGTACACAACTCACCTTTGATTTGCCGACGATAAAGTCCTTATGGCAGAATCGCTGTAGAATCTAGGTACTGTAGTCAATGAACTCAATATTGTCCCCAAGGGATGGATCTTAGAATTAATATGAACAAAACAAAGGTAATTTAGAACCAAAATAATTGACATAGTCCTCTCCAAGTTTAGGCACCTCCACACCCCACTACACATTTGCTTTTCTCATTTTTTTTCACACACATTTCATATTTGTTGACACATTTTCGCTTTATGTACTTTTTAGAATAGGGACGTTGATACATATTAGTACATATAGCTGTTATTCATTTTAATTTATTTGGATTATATAGTAAGTATTAATATTATTATGATTACTTGCTATCTATACCCAAGGTCTATTATTCGAATTGTACGCAACATTAATGACCTTTAAAAATTGCTGCTAAATAATAAATTTAAAAAAGTAAGGTTGACCATACAGGCCATCCCTGCAACTTCTAATGCAAAGCGCATCAAGAGCTTTTTAATTTTAATGCGGTTTGCGGCAATCAACGCTACTTTTTTCTGTTAGACAAAAACACTTATCACAAAAAAATTGATTTCACAAAAAATTTTTCAAGATATTTTGAAACACTCATTCGATTTCTTTCGACAACAATATCTCTCTTGAACGAATGGACGTATTTTGACGTAGTTCACGGCAAGTGACATTCCAATTTTTTTAAAATCGTTGATTTTCATAGCGGGAAGTTAAAAAATTAACGTCCCTAATAATTATGCCCTAAGGAATTTAAAACATGTGATTATTTCAAAGTTGTCGTTGTAATCAAAATAGATTAGAAAAGCAAATAATTTAAAATGATACATAGATTTTTATATTAAAACAATAATTGAAATCTTTTAAACATTTCAGGATTTCGTTTATCAAAATTAAATAAAAGTAAAAAATAAACAAATGTAACAAGAAAATTAATAGCAACATTTTAGTAAATTTTTCACACCCCTTAGCAGCTCAGGAGCTACTACGATAGTTGGTGTTCTTTTTTCTATTTCATTTAATACTTCTAAGTAATTTTTGATAGTCATTTTTTTTATTCACTCTTAAACCATTCATTTTTATCAGTTCTGTTATTACTTATTACGATGCTTGTTGAAGACTTCTTAATATGCAACCATATTACTGCATCGTGTGCAGACGAGTTCATTGACGCTTCATTAGCAGTAATTAGTATTCGCAAGTAAGCGTAATAACAAGTTTATAGAAATAATAACAACAATATTTGCTACAATAATATAATCTTTGGTATTGCATTTATGAAATAAATATGTGTAGCTTTTAAAGCGTATCGCAAGGTACCCATTTTAGGTCCTTCATTATACATATTTTACATTACATTAGTAAATTGCATTTTTAATAGTAACTAGACATAGTTTTAAAATTTAATGTTTCAGTTTAACTTTCAATATATCAGTCTTATATTAAATGAGCGCCTTAAATTTCACGATCAACATGCGCTAGAACCCCGTTAGAATAACAGAATTTGGCTACTGCAAGTTAATGCCCTGATTTATTTAGCATTCCGCTCACATATGAAGGAAAATATCGCAGTAAAACTTGATAAATTAAAAAATATTAGGGAGTTATGTAAAATTAATTTATTCTCGCTGAAGTAACGCTCTGTGCTATTTTATAACCCTCACAAAAATGTGAAGACGCGTAACTTAAGGAAGCAGTAAAATTACTTTTTACAATAATATGGGAAGTTATTTCTCTTATAACCATTTTCTTATAAACATTCTTAAAGTTCATCTGATCTTAAGTGGCCACGGCAGCCCGAAGTCACCTGCAACAAACTGCAAACAATGTAGGCTACGGGTGCGTTATCAGCTCTGAGGAATAATAAGGAATGCCTTACAGCCAGTAATTATACTGGTTCTATTTTCAAATCTGAACAGTGAAGTCACTTCTGCTAGTAAGGGTAGACTTATAGTGAGAACTTAAACTTATTAAGTTTTTTCCTCGCAGATGTTCTTTTTGAATGTAGCTGCAACTATTGATTTTTCTGGACGATAAGGGGCCTTCAAGAAAATAATCTAATTTTTTAAAAGTGCGCCAACGCACCTGCAATTTCCCTGGCGTTGCAGTTGTTAACAGGTGGCGGTAGTCACTTACCGCACCTTATGCCCCCCTCTTAGAGTCATTAACGAGCTAACAGTTTTAGACCCAGTCATCACCTAGCAGCTAGCAGTTAGTCCATCTGACAGTAAGTATCTCCGCAGCCTATGGACACCTGCAACGAACTTTAAACAAAAAGGCCACAGCGTGCTGTTATTTGCGGGGACTAATACAAAATGTCTCACAACTTTACTTATTTATACTCTATACTAGCTCTATTTTTCTTCTCTAAACCGGAATGAAGCTGAGGGTCGCCGCTTGGCGACAGAAACAGATAAGAAGCTTTCACCAGACAAAAAATATGCATGATAATATCATTATAATAGGTTGGAAAACGTAAGATAGAAAAGCATGCACGACAAAAGCGCTTATATGGAAATCGTTGGAAACTCTAATACAGTAAAGCAGCAAGGACAAAAGCGCTTCATTAGAGTAGAATAGAATTGAATAATATTTATTTGACACAGATGACTTGAACTAATAGTTATTGAAAGTCACTTCTGAAATGATGAATGCTGATTAATTATCTCTCAACAGCTATCTAATAATCTAACAATTAGCTTTAAAACCATGTGGTGGCGGAGTAATAATAGAAAAGGTAGAATAGAAATCGAGAATATATTACAAAAATATTGAAAGTCATTCACACTCACGAGCACACAGTCTACCTGATGGTAAATTGGTAAATAATATTGTGGCCGTCATGGGCCTACAACTACATATATCCTCGATCAAGAAATAAAATGCAGATGCGTTGTCACCCCTGTGGACTAAGTAGGAATGCATCGTTTCCAGTAAAAAGGGTCTTCGGTTCTCTACACACACCATAGGTACGAAACACAGTACGCACACAGGATTAAGATTAATACTGCTAACAAGAGAAGGAGATGGGCCCCACATGTGCAACTGTGCACTTTTGTATATGAAGAATATATTCAAATTATATTGAAGTTGCCGTTGAGGGAAATTGTATAATGGCGATGTAAGAATATCCGCTCCCCATATCGCCGTGGGCGCGTCGTGAGAGGGGACAGAGGGAAACCGAAACAGGAGATGAGCAGCAGCATGTACTTAATAACAACTTAAAATTAAAAGAAACTGCGGTTGCCAACCCGCTTGCCAAGCGTGGCAACTATGGCAAAATCCCCAGTAAAAGGCATTCTATGGCCTAGTATATCATATATGTTAAGCCTTTGACTACCGTGCCATGTCAGTTACTTTGTACGAAGTATTGCATTTAAAACGTTACCGACGGCAATTTAAGTGTTAATGATATTGGATGGGTATTTTACTAAAACCTGATTTTAACCTTGAAAAGGTTTTCATATAATTAATTTAAACTCCAGTTCTCGTGGTTTTTGGTCTTATTAGAAAATTAAATCTTCAAATAATAAAATGAACGTGTACTCGTAATGGAACAACCTTCATGAACTACGTCTGATTGAGATTTCAAGATATAACTGTTACGGGCTTGGGATTAGTGACAATAAAAACTGCCGATTGAATTACCAAAATTGACAATTTAATTACCGAACACCAATTACAACTTAAAACAGACTAATAATAGATCGCTTTAGTTCTCAGTTATATCACTTCAAAGTATTCGCTTGAATCGCCAATTCAATACCTACTGCCCCGATCGCGGATCTCAACGGCCTTATATGGGACCTCTTCTACTGAAAACATCTAAAATATTCGAGTACATACCGGTTCCGACTGTGTAGGTGTAGAAAGATGTAGTATGGAATTTTCTAGAAAGCTCTCCTAATTTTGCTAATCGATACTAGAATGGGGTACTGGGTATTTGCAATGTCCCACCTATTAATTATGACGCGCAACATAACAATAAAACTAGTAAAAATGTTTTAAAATTAACTGCGACTTTGATAAGAGGTGATAGACTGAAATGAAACATGAGATAATCAGCAGTATCTTCCTAAAAACAACTTAAAAACGTTGTCGTTTGTCAGTTGCACTTGCCGCTTGCACTTTTTTTCTCAAAATGTAAACCGGGCCTT